CGAAACTTCATGCAACGATCTCTGTATTAATGCGAACATGTTGTCAACTCATTTCCTGTTTATGCTGACCTGATCGCTCACATTACCAATTCTATTCCTATCGAGACTAATTTAATTACAGGACAGTTTATTATTAGGCACAATGAAATCCGATATGTAGAGATTGAATTATCAGCTAAACACTACATTTGTTTTCACAATCTATCAAACCGCACATTAACAATTCGTTTCAGTTTGATACTTTATTTGACCATATCACATGTTGACTTTGATTACACAAACAAACGTCTCTACTGTTTGCAGTTCGAGATTTCAAACAAGTGCAAAAGACGCTGTTTCCGGGAAACAGAGCATTATGGCCGGAATTTGAAAAATTTGTTCGGTATGAGAATTTTGGAAGAGATCTGAATTTCTGCCATAGCTTCAATACTTTTCATTCCTTTGAATAATTAGATGAAAGAGACAAATGAAAACGTGATTCAATTCAACCTCACAAGAATGCCTGAAAACACTCAAACTATCGCAAATGGCGCTGGCGCTGCAAAATTCACCGAAATATATTTAACACGCTCACAAAAAACTGAGATAACTGATTCTCTCTACGATGAGATCATTATTCTCGAGGGTTGTATCACAATGAAAAGTAGATATTTAAAGTGACCTTAATCTCATAAGGAAGGTAACGCAATCAGAAATGATTCGTTGTTTCGAGATGAAGCACATTAAGTTTTGAGGGCAAGTCAATACGAACCTCTTTGACGATATCGAATGATGAACACGGGAATATGGCTAGCTGATGATAAACGGCACTGTGCAAAACCGATGCTAAAAGATGTGTCGAAGTATCACTAGATCGTCGGATTCCAATCCGCTTCAAACGCCTCCGTGATGAATAGAGTGTTTGCAGTACCTGCAAGTGAAGCAGTTGCCTACGAAAGATGAGCACATAGATCTGCAACAATGCAATAAGTTCAGTGATTTAAACCGAAAGTATGCTGAATTTGGAGCAGCTGACGACTCCACAAATTTATCGGATCACCCTCAGAAAAAATTTTCATCATTGTTGAAACGAAACCGAAAAGTTTCTGAGTGATTGGAAATGCTGCGAGTGCAAACAAATTCTTACGCTTAATTATCCGATTTTTTTGATGTTAATCAACAACAGAATTAGATAAATCATTGGTGTATTAATTGAGATGAGTAATTGGATAAAGCGTCAATCAGAGTTGTTTTGCTTGCTGCCAAATGACGCATTCAAGCACATAATCATGCCATGCATTCATTATCCTGCTCAGCTGTGTTCTGCTTCTAAACACTCACGCATTCAGTCAGCTCACACCAATAAAATTGCTTTCATTTCCGCTAAATCAACTAATTAATGATGTGATCGTCAACGAAAAACATGAACAGATAATTGAATACAAACCAAATCATAGCCTGGCTCGGGCCGAGCAATATCAACCATACTCGTAAACCACTTGGTTTCAAGCATAACTTTCCATCGCAAACGAGAATCGAACCCGTTGGGGTTCTACTTTTTAGCTATTGCGAGGACCGTTCAGTCGAGTGGTTCTACTGAGTTTGCAACTAAACGCACATATTGCAAAACTATCATGTATCTAATAATCCGTTCACGGCATCGTGAACGCGTACAGATCAGTTCAGTTTAATTGTAGCATCTGACGCTTTTGCAATATGTTTAGTTTCTCATTAG